AAGGAATTGAATTCAGGCCTTGTGACCCCAGGTCAGTGTCCTTTCTACTGTATCATTCGATCAGTGTTTAATTGTACACTTCTCTGAGCCTGAGGGACAGACCTTTTCTTGGTCTTTCTCTTATCAATTAGCAGGATTTTTTTTCCTGTGATATATATTAAATCATTTAAATGCTTCTTCACATCTCAGAACATGATGCACTAGCCTCATCATATACAAGCATTAGGTGATACACCAGGTAGGAGCAAGGAATTGACTAAAAAGTCAACTTCCTTTTCCCATGTAGGACGTGAGGATTTAGATCCTGAGGAGCCCCCCAGAGGCATATCCACCTTGTAGCACTAGGTGGCAGCAGCACATCCTGTACACAGCCACCTCCTAGAGACAGGCTCAGGATCATGACCATATCCACCATCACCCTCTGTGTTACTAAACATCACTTCCTTTCCACATTCTTTTTGTTCTTTTATTCTAAAAAGGGAGGAAGGGGAATGAGTAGAGAGAAAAGGGCAGGACGTGGGCTCCAATAGCACAAGGCTCTTGAGCCTTAATAGCAAATTCCTGAAGCCCAGAGTTAAGGAGAGAAGTTTTATCACATAGAGAAGGTCATAGAGAAGGAAGAGATCTGTTCATCTGAATGGCTTTATCAGGCCATAGAACAATCTGTGGACATTCTCATAGCCAATTCCTAGCCTAGGAAAAAAATAAAATTCAACAGGCATTCTGGGGTCAGACCCTACGGATCAGTCTAACTTTGATGAAGATGGAAAGTTGATGCTGTTTCCAAGAATGGGGTTCGTTTTAAATAAAGATGGGCTATGGAAGAAAGTCAAAGGATCAGTCTGAGCCAGGAATACTGGAATAGGAAGGAAATAGTTGCTCCAAGAGGGATCAGTGGATTCCAGTCAAAGAAGAGAATCAGTAAGTAAAAGAGAGCCTTCTGAGAGTTATTCTGTGGGTCCTGAGCTGAATTCTAGAGACAGTGAGTCTGCCCACACAGAAGTACTATGCAGCCACCCTCAGATTATGCTTTAGACACCTAGGAACACCAAGGGAGGCAGAATGGTATAATTGAGAGTTTGCTGAACTGAAAGAAAGGGGGAACGTGTACTATCTTGGCTCTGCCACTGTGTGACGTTGGACAAGCCACAATCTCTTTTGGACCCTGTCTCCCGATATTCAAAATGAGAAAGGTCATTGATGGTGCAGGTCTGAACTGAGTCAGGCTCAGCTGGTCTAGACTGGTCATTAGACAGCTGTTCTGCAAATGCCCTCTGTGTGGCAGTATCCTTTCCAAGATCATCTATGTGGTGGTAGAAGTAGCTATTGTTCATATTATCTAGATTTTTCCAAAGGGAGAGTAGTAATAGCCAATTACTGAACTTTCTCCTGTCCTGCTCTCAATCTGGAAATGTTAATGGTAGCTGTGCTACTTACTACCTATGTGATTGTGGCCAAGTCACTTAAACCACTCCATGACTCAGTTTCTTCATCTATAAAATGAAGGAGTTAGATTAAATGACCTCTGAGGACCCTTTTAACTCTAAATATATTCATCTATGATGACCAAACTATGACACTCCTACCACCACCACTGTAAGATGTTCTACCTTGGCATCTTGAAAATTTTCTTGTCCTTTTAATTGGTAGAATTCTAACCCCAAGAATCCATACCAACCTCCTGCCCATTCCAGACAGAATTTCCATTCTACAGTGACTAGAACAGTCCTGCTCACACAATTGTTCACTCGTCCATCCCATCCATCCTGTACTTCACCAAGAGAATTAGACTTGGAATAAGGAACATTTAGATTCCACTCTTGCTTCTAATACTTGCTAGCTCTGTGAGGGGACACAAGAGAAGAGCACATTATTTTGGAGATATGCATCATTAAAATAAATAGACGTAGGAACAGTGATGATTTGGGAATAGTGGTAAGAAAATAAAATAAATATCATTAGCTTCACCCTGTCCCCTCATGTTTTGCTAGTTGAACCTCTAGGGTGATCTCTAATCAATATACTTTTTTTAAATGCCTAGTGTGTGCCAGACACTGTGCTGAATGAGTCAATCTCTAACCTTAAGGAGTTTACATTCTGTTTGGGAGATTTAACACATATCATGTAGTGGTAGCCAAGAAAGGAAATTTTGATAGAGGCAGTCATATGAGAAAGAGGAAAAGAAAACCTATTCAGAAATAAAGGCCTACCCTGGAGAATATAGAGTACCATCCTTTAAAAAGATGTACCAAAAACATATCTCATTCTGCCTTTTCAGGCTTTCTTCTCAATATCAAAGGGCAGACAGCATGTTTCAGCTTCAGTTCTTTGGACTTTATCATAATATTGGTTTATCATAATGTTGCGTTGATCAGAGTTCTTAGAATCTTTCACAGTCATTCTTTATTATGTTATTATTGTATAAATTATTCCCCCAGTTCTTCTCATTTCACTGTTCCTGCTGGGGTGAGGTAGGCAATAGTAGGGCCAGATAGTAAGATGCTCTGATGGATAGTCACTGGTGTCCTGATGGATGGCTGAGTTAGATAATGGAAGCTGAAAAATATACTCCAACTGTCGTCGCTTCCTCACTCTCAATCCATTCAACGAATATGTATTGAGGGACTACTTTGTGCCCCCCGAGGCAGGGGAGTCAAAGCAAGGGCAGTCAAAACCACAGGTCTGGCCTTGCTGGTTGGGTGGGCTGTAGTCAGGCTCACAAAAGAGCTGGAGTATCCATGAGGGTATGGACTATTTCAAAAACAAGTTGGGATTTTTCCCAATTGGGGAAGAGAAATTAGGAACTGGAAAAGCCACTAATGGAAGTAATAGTTCATCTGCAAAACAGCAGATGGCAGTGTAAGAGAGGAAGAAGCCCAGCTGATAGCTTCACCGGCTTTGAGGGCGTCAGAGACAACAAGCAGCTGCTTTAGACACAGCAATATTTTATTGGGAATGTGGTCCTTAGAATGTGAGTTGTCCAAGCGATCTGTTCCCTCTCCACCAGTGATGTATGCCCTGAGGCTTTTTCAGTGATGTATGCCCAGAGGATTTTCCTTGTTATTTACCATGTCTATTGCCCAGATTTCAACATGCATCCGAATGGACCCATATAGAGCTTGGTGAACAGTTGTATATCTGGGACAGATGATGCAGATGGACAAAGGAAATGAAAAGGAGGACAAGAGTGGGCTCGATTGCTTTGGGAACCGCACAAAGCACTTTTACTGATTTAAGCATAGCAGCAAGGCCCATCTTTTCAGTGCAAATATTTTATTGGTATTGCTGCATAGCATCAAGACATGGAACACCACTGCAGTTGTATAACTTAAGATGACCATCACAATGGGCCATGCAAAAGTGCCTGCGGCTATGAGCGAGCTGCAACATCTAGCCAAACATATAACAAAGAACTCTGAAGAACAGTGGTCCAGTAGACAGAGTGCTGGGCCTGGAGTCAGGAAGACCCAAGTTCAACTCCCATCTCAGACATTTACCAGCTATGTGACCCCCGGACAAGTCACTTAATCTTTGTCTGCCTCAGTTTCCTCCTCTGTAAAATGGAGATAATAATAGCACTTACCTCTCAGGGTTATTGTGAAGATAAAATGAGATAATATTTGTAAAACTCTTTATAAACCTTAAAGCTAATTATTACTGTTAAAGGATGTCATCAAAATTGCACAATAGAGAGTGACAAGAATGTGGTAAGAATGAAGATGACTCGTGGCTGGCCAGAGTGTGCTACTAGTACTCTCAATGTCAGAGACATCAAGGATTGGGTAGGCCCATGTGATAAACTTATGGGGTGATATGTATGAGAGTTGTACAGATTGGCAGGTATGGATGGATTTTATTGGAAGGAACTCCCAAGTTGATGAGCTTGTGGATCTATTTGAGCATTTATATTCTGCTTTTATTACTGCATTTTGCATTTAATATGTTAATATGTAATCTGATTTGGTCAGCTAAAAACTAGATGGAAATTCATGAACTATGAATTTGAATTGATGCTGATTCAAACAGTATCTTGAATTGGGTAATTGTTTTCAGGGGCCCACATTTGGGAAGGAGGTGGTACCAGCCTATATATATATATATATATACATACATATACATATATTAAGATGCTATGAATGAATAAAAAACATTTTATTAAATACTTACTACAGCCACACATTGTGCTAAACGCCTGAGTTGTTCATACACTGAGGGACAAAACCACTTCACTTTGTATCAGTTCACACAGATCTTGCCATGTTCTTTCTGAAACCATGCTCCTTGTCATTTCTTATAGCACAATAGTACTCCATCACAATCATATGCCACAATTTATTTAGCCATCCTCTCAATTTCCAATTCGGTGCCACCACGAAAAGAGCTGCTATAAATATTTCTGTACGCATCGGTCATCTTTCATTTTCTTTGATCTCTTTGGGGCACAGACCTAGTAGTGGTATTACCAGGTCAAAGGGTATGCATGTTTTTCCAAATTGTTCTCCAGAATGTCCATAGTTTCATATTTGGTCCATAGTTCCAAATTGTTCTCCAGAATGGTTTGACCATTCACAGCTCCACCAACCTCAACTATCTCATTTTACCAGAGTAGGAGGCCTACTTGGGTCCTGGCTATACTGCTGGCCCCCATTTACTGCCATGACAGCTTGTGTGGCAATCCCATATGCACCACTGGGACAGTCTCACTTTTCACCACTTTTAAAAACTAGAATTATTATTAATTTGAGACCTAAAGACATTGTCCTGAGCATTGGTGAAGATTATTAATCAGAGAGCAACCAGATCCTTGAGTTGGAGCTACTTTAGGCATCATCCAGTCGAACCTTCCACTCAGAGTAGGACTATCTTCCCCACACCTAATAAGCTCTGCTGGAGCACTTCTGGCAAGTATAATAATAGCTCACATTTTTATAAGCCCTGTGAGGTAGGTAGTGTAAGTTTTATTATCACTGTCTTACATCTGAAAAAAACCAAACATCGAGCAAGGTTAAGTGAATTTTCCACGGCTATACAACTAGTCAGGACCAAGACTCAAACACAAGTGTCCTGACTCCAAGTCCAATGCTCTTTTTACTACACTCTTTGCTGCTTTCAGTAGCAGGTTCCATTCTGACAAAACCCACCTAAGGGGCATAAACTAAAGGAGAAAGGGCTGACTGCCAGCCAGGATTCAAGATGATTGGCACACAGGAAAACATTAGTTTGCCTGGGAGTTCTAAGGATTTGTCACTATCTGGCTATATGGGCTACGTGTCCCGTAGTTCCGAAGAGTCCCACAGATTCATTTATTTTCAGAGAGGTGACAGGGCCGGCTTATTGCTTTTCTCTCCCAAAGATCAGAATACGAGCCAGGATGTAGATACATAAGATGTTTGTTCAAGAAGGCTTAGTTCTTGCAGCTATGGCCTCAAGAAAATTCTCAGTAGATATGTTACTTCACAGTAACTTGGCCAGGTCATCCACAAACTTGTCCCATTTCTTCTGCCAGACTTCTTTAGTGGTTTTCTTCTTGTCCACTGACAGGGAGCTATACCTGCAAGAACAAAAAGACAGTATCACTCTTGAGAAAGGGCCCCGCTTGGGGGTCGGGTGGTGGTGGGGGTCCTGAGAAAGGGCTGTGTTCAGGAAGGACGGAGAAGAGGAGAGATTAGACCCCAGGACTGTGGTGACCTGCACTTTCTAGAGAGGAAAAGATAGGATATGAGCAGGGACACTCACTTGATTGAATTCAATGCCAACTGTTTGAGGGTCCTCAAGTCAGCCTTCATCCCTCCAATGCCCATGAAAGCTTCATAGAAGTCATAAGACAAGCCTTTGGCCCCAAAGATAGATGGATCATCAGAACTGACCACCATAGGGTGCCCGCTGGACATTAGAGAAGCCGCTGGGTGGTTCCTTAGGTCAGATACCAACTGGAGGACCTGCCAGGGAAAAACAGGAAGGCAAAAAAAACATACTGCAAGTCACAAAAAGAAGTAGAGAGATAAGACTCTGGATATCACATAACAATTCCTTTCCAACTTCTATCATTATTCTGGATACCAGGCTAGTACTTAGGGATGGGTTTGACTAAGGAATAGATCAATCCATCAGTAAGCATTTATTAAGCAACTACTGTGTCCTGGGGACCGTGTTAGGGACTAGAGATATAAGTAAAAAGAATGAAACAATCTCTATTCACAAAGAGCTTACATTCTAATGAAGCAAACAACACGTACGTGTGTGTGTGTGTGTGTGTGTGTGTGTGTGTAATATAAATAAATACAAAGTAGTTAAATACAAGGTGGTTTGAGAAGGAAGGCACTGAGGGGAACAGGAAAAGCTCAAGGCAGAAGATAGTGTTTGAATTGCATTTTTTAAAAAAAGAAAGGCACCCTACAAGGCAGATGTAAGGAGCTAATTCATTGCAGGCTTATCAGGTCAGTCAGTCACAAAGCATTTATTAAATGCTTACTATGTGCCAGAATTGTACTAACACATGGGAATACAAAGAAAGGTAAAAAAGCACTGCCCCTACTTTCAAGGACTTTACATTCTAATGTGGAAAATAACATGCAAATACCTGTAATACAAGCTATATACAGTGCAAATGGAAAGTAATCTCAGAGGGAAGGCACTAGCAGTGGAAAGGAGAGGAAGAAAGGCTTTCTGCAGCAGTGAAATTTAAACTGAGTATTAAAGGAAGCCACAAGCAGAAAGAAATAGAAAGAGAAATTCCATTTAAAATAACTGTAAACAACATAAAATACTTGGGAGTCTACCTGCCAAGACAAACCCAGGAACTATATGAACACAATTACAAAAAACTTTTCACACAAAGTCAGATCTAAACTGGAAAAATATCAATTGCTCATGTGTAGGCCAAGCCAATATAATAAAAATGACAATTCTACCTAAACTAATTTACCTATTCAGTGCCATACCAATCAAACCACCAAAACATTATTTGATAGAACAAGAAAAAATAACAACAAAATTCATCTGGAAGAATACCAAGGGAATTAATGAAAAAAAAAATACAAAGGAAGGTGGCCTAGCAATACGAGATCTCAAACTATATCATAAAGCAGTAATCATCAAAGCTATGTGGTACTGGCTAAGAAATAGAGTGGTGGGTCAGTGTAATAGAATAGGTACACAAGACATAGTAGTAAATGACCATAGTAACCTAGTGTTTGCTAAAGCCAAAGACCCCAGCCTTTGGGATAAGAACTCACTATTTGACAAAAACTGTTGGGAAAACTGGAAAACAATAGGGTACAAACTAGGTATAGACCAACATCTTGCATCATATACTAAGATACAATCAAAATGGGTACATGATTTAGACATAAAGGGTGACACCATAAGCAAATGTTTGAGCAAGGAATATCTTACCTGTTAGGTCTATGGAGAAAGGAAGAATTCATGACCAAACAAGAAATACAGAGCATTATGAAGTGTAAAATAGATAATTTTGATTACATTAAATTAAAAAGCTTTTGCACAAACAAAACCAATGCGGTCAAGCTTAGAAGAAAGGGAGAAAGCTGGGAAACAATCTTTACAGCAAGTGTCTCTTAAGGCCTCATTATTCAAATATACAGAGAACTGAGTCAAATTTATAAAAATATATGCCATTCTCTAATTGATAAATGGCCAAAAGGGGGCAGCTAGGTGGCGCAGTGGATAGAGCATCAGCCCTGAAGTCAGGAGGACCTGAGTTCAAATGTGACCTCAGACCAAACACTTGACACTTACTAGCTGTGTGACCCTGGGCAAGTCATTTAACCCCAATTGCCTAAAAATAAAATTTAAAAAAAGATAAATGGCCAAAGGATATGAACAGGCAATTTTCAGATGAAGAAACCAAAGCTGTCTATAGTCATATAAAGAAGTGCTCTAAATCACTTTTGATTAGAAAAATGCAAATGAAAACAACTCTGAGGTACTACCTCACACCTATTAGATTGGATTAAATATGCAAAAAAGGGAAATGATAAATGTTGTAGAGGATGTGGAAAAACTGGGGCACTAATGCACTGTTGGTGGACTTGTGAACTGATCCAACCATTCTGGAGAGCAATTTGGAACTATGTACAAAGAATAACCAAACTGTGCAGACCTTTTCATCCAGCAACACCACTAGTAGGTCTGTATCCAAAAGATATCATAAAAAAGGGAAAAGGATCTACATGTACAAAAATATTTATAGCAGCCCTTTTCATGGTGGCAAAATATTGGAAATTGAGGGGATGTCCATCAATTGCGGAATGGCTGAGCAAGTTGTGGTATATGAATGTAATGGAATACCATTGTGCTATAAGAAATAATGAGCAGGTAGATTTCAGAAAAACTTGGGAAGACATGTACAAACTGATGAAAAGTGAAACGAGCAGAACCAGGAAACACTGTACACGGTATCAGCAATATTGTGTGATGATCTGCTATTCACATCCAGATAAAGAACTGATGGACTCTTAATGCAGATTGAAGCATACTTTTCTTCACTTTGTTTTTTTCTGTTTTTTTTTCCTTTTGATCTATTTCTTCTTTCACCACTGTGACTAATATAGAAATGTGTTTTACATAATTGCACATATATAACCTATATCAAATTGCTTAACATTTTAGGAAGGGGGAGGGAAAGGAGGGAGAAAAATCTGGAACTCAAAATCTTGTAAAAATGAATGCTAAAAATTGTCTTGACATACAATTGGGAAAAAATAAAATACTATAAAAATAAAACCAAAAGGAAGCCCCAGATGCCAGTAGTGGAGGTTAGGATGGGGAGCGTTCCAAGCACGGAGCGTAGCCAATGAAAAGGCCTGGGGAGATGGAGGATGTGCTGTCTGAAGAATACCAAGAAAGCCAGTGTCACTGGAGAGGAGACTAAGACTGGAAAGGGCCAGGTTGAGAAGGGTTTTAAATGCCAAACAAATAATTTTATATTTACTTCTGGAAGTAATAGGAAGCCACTGGAGTCACAAAGGCAAAGAAATGGTAGATGCAACTGGCGCATGTGAAGTGCTGGAAAAAGGCCACTTTAGCTAAATCATGGAGTATGGAAGGAGGAGTAATGTCCAATAAGGCTGTAAGGATAGATTGGAGCTAGTAGACATTCACAATTTCATCTACAATCCTCTTCTTCTGTTCTATAATGCATATGGAAATACTCATTTTATTTCCTGCTGGTTAGGTTTGGAATAAAAAAATTCCTTTAATGAACTGAATGTTGCATAATGAAAAGAACACTGGACAAGAGACCTGGATTTGAACGCTGGCTGTGATACGTACTGGATATCTGACCATGGGCAAGTACTTAACTTCTCTAGATCACAGTATCCTCATCTGTCAATGAAGGAGTTGAACTAGATGACCAGTAAAATCCCTTCCAAATCCACTATTTGATAATTTTAAATGTTTCTTCTTTTTCCAGCTAACTTCCCCACTTCTGCATCTCCCACTGCTTCAGCCATAATTCCTCCACCCTTTTGAGCATTTTCACTGTTGTCGGCCATGGTTCTGAGGTCAGTTTTCACTATCAGAGTCACCATGCTTCATGGTACAGGCTCAGATAATTCCTGCACATCTCTGACAAGATGAGAAAGAAAGGATATGTAGAAATGGGAATCATAAGAGGAATGTGAGTCAGAGCAGAGACAGGGGTCTTGGTAATAAACAGAGCTCTCCCTAAAAATGACTAGCATTGAGCACTCACTCATAGAGGACTAGAAGGAAACTTCCATGGATTTCCTGATGAGATCTGGCCTAGAGTTAAACCCATATAAGCCCTGGGAATCATACCTGGTTAGAGATGGGACACACTTCTACAGGGATGTCCCTATTCCAAGAGATATTTCTGGCCATCGGGTGTCTGCCCAGAGCAAATCCATGGCCAATCCTGGTGGTGTTCAGCACTAGGGCATCCAGAACGTTCTCATCTATGGAAGTGCCCTGCCAATCTGGAGAGTAAGAATAAAGACTTTACTAGTGGATGGAGCCAGCTGTAGGGACTACAACCTACTTCATAGGTTATTATGAGGAAAGCACCATAGTGCTATGTGAATATAAGGTGGTGTTGTTATTGGTCTGGACCTGTGATTTCATTGTCCCGGGGAATTCTGTGTGTGGAAACTCCCTCTACCAGTACAGATCAGCAACTCAATCTACGACATACAGTCAGTCTTAGAGAATTATTCAGGGGCTTTAAAAGCTTAAAGCTTGTCAAGATTTGAACCCAGGTCTTCCTGACTTGAAGGTCAATCCTCCATACACCACACCACACACAGTCTCTTGTTATTACTGTTATTCTAAGGGAAAAAATCATCAGGCCCAGAAGGGTGACATACTCAGTAATCACAAGCATTCTATACCACATTGCCACTATTTTGGAATTTGATTATATTTTATTTAGTAACATTTTGTATTGTTCTTTGTTCCATCCGTTTGAATCCTCTTTACCCAGCTAGACTGTAAGCTTCTTGAGAGCAAAGAAACTGACAAGTTTGTTTTGAATCTCCCCCAAAAGAAAAACTCGATACATCTGAACTGAATTTGGTGTTGTTAGCTCGTTTCAGTCCTACCTGACTTTTTGTGACCACATTTGGAGTTTTCTTGGCAAATACAATGGAGTGTTTTGACATTTCCATCTCCAGCTCATTTTACAGATGATTAACTGAGGCAAACAGAGTTAAGTGACTTACCCAAGATCACACAGCTAGTAAGTGTCTGAGGTCATACTTGAACTTGGGAAGATGCCTTCCTGACTTCAGGTTCAGCACGCTAGCTGCCCCTCTCAGCTTAATTAAATTAAATCTAATCAGATTGAATACATGGAGGCTGTAGAGAGGAGGTTTATGATGAAAATGAAAGCAATATGACAGGAAAGGTAGAGATATGTTCAATGAGTCTACTATAAAGCATAGGAAATGTATGGCTTGGTGAAAAGAGCATTAAATTGAGGTGAGAGAAACTGAATTTAACCTCCAGTTCTATCATTTAGTGCCTAAATGTAAGTGACATTTTCTACCGATATGACTTTAGGCAAATCACTTTACATCTCTGGACCTCAGTTTCCTGATCTGTGACTTGACAGCTTTCATGGTTCCTTAGGCTATGATTCTAGGACAGTAATGGTAAACACAAATTTAAGCCAGGTTGTAAGTACCAGCATTACAATGTACTTCTGTGCTAACCCAAAGGAGGCCTTCTGAAGAAAGCAGGGCTCTATGGCTGATACACCATCTACGGATAGAGCAAACTGCCTGCCCTCTGCACGAGGGTGCCATCTAGCCAGCTTTCCTAGACTCAAGTAGCCTGGGCAAATGGCTATGCTTCATGAACTGAGGCTAGCAGGAAATATCATAAGGATTAGTGGAGCCCATGGAATGGTCACGTAGAAGCAGAAGATGAGCCTGGATTATTAGCATCTCAAGACTAAAAAGACAGGCATCTGGTGGCAAGAAGCTGCTGTTTTCATCACTTGGCACAGCCTTCATATGTGTTTTTGGATAATGATGATGAAGTGTATGAATTTGCATTCTCCCATATTCCATAAAGTTGAACACTATGTAGGTCATGTGTTTTATGGCTCCTAAGGATGCTGCAGCTCACTTGTCTCTCCAGCATGGAAGAAGTAAGGCAGGTCAAAGCCTTGAGTAGCTGGGAGGAGCAAAGCTTCTTTCAGGTCCCACAAGGAATGCCCCTTGTCCTCTTGACCCACCTGTGGGAGAGAAAAGGAGGCACACTGAGCCATTTACCTCATATATATATTAGTTTTGCTCATGAGTTCTATGCCCTGTCATTACTATGCTTCCATATATTCAGCCACCATTGCGTTAGGACCTGGGAAGAGTGCCTGGGGCTAAGAGTCAGGAGACCTGGTTCTAGACTCAGCTATACCAATAACCAGCTGCGTGATCTTGGATATGGGAGGCAACATCATCTCTCTGGGACTCAAGTTCCCTCAGTTATAAAGTGAAGGAATCAGACTAGATAAACCATAAAGTCTTTTTAATTTCTGACATTCTAGGATTCTGCACAACTTTCGTCCAGGGTATGAAGTGGAAACAGAGGATAATAATAACAGCTCAAATTTATACAGAATTGTACAGTTTTTAAGTATCATTATTCCTATTTTGTAGAGGAAAAACAAGCTTTGAGGACTATGGGAACACAACTAGTAAATATTAAAGCTAGGACTTGAGATCAAATCTTCTTGGCTTCCAACACTCTTATCCTTTACACCATGCTGACATACCATCCCAAAACTTTTTAACAAACTGCACCCCCACCCCCAAATATTCCAGGCTTGTGCTTTTTTATCCATTTCCAGGGCTAGTCCTGAGAGATGTGACTTGAGTGAATTCCCAGAAGCCAGGGCCAAGACCAAAATAAAAATAACTCCCCTTTACTCCCATTCTAAGTTAGGTGACAAAGGCTGGATAGAACCTTATTACCAGAAAACATAGGGATAAAGACTGTATCTGTGATTTTACTAGCATAGGGAAATACTTTTATTTCCTATGGAGGAAACACCTTCTACTAATGCCAGGTGACATTTTCTCTTTCTGTAATTTATTATCTCAGAGTTGCCTAGAGCACTGAATTGTCCAGGGTCTCACTCATAGTATGTATCAGAGGTGACATGTGAACCTAGGTCTTCCTGACTTCCTGGCCAGCTCACAGCTAAAATGTATTTCTTACCTAGGAGGAAGTCAGGTCTCCCTTTGACTGATTAGCAGATTGGAATCCTTTGTCTGATTACCTAGCTTTCACCTTGAAATCTCAGATTTGCCTTGAGATCTCAGAAAAATGGGGGATAGAGGGCAGAGAGAGGAGAGAACAATAAGTTGGATAGGGCAAGCTCCTAGAGTATTGAAGGAAAAAATTCATCCATTTCATAATTTTTCTAGAGTCATTCCTGGCTCTCTTTCTCTGTGGGGTTAATGATTATCTTAGGCACTGTTGGGCACAAAGGCCATTTCCAGGGGAAGGTGAGGATAAGAGAGGAATAAAGGAAGAAATGGCCATAATCAATGACCAAACCATTCTATTCCCCCTATTCTGGGAATTTTCTTTTTGAGCTTTTTTTTTGAGCTTTGGGCACACCCCACCCCAACCCCTTTCTACCTTTTCTTCTCAAATGTTTTTTCACCATCCCCAAGGTGTTCCCTTCATGAAGAACAGACTACTCGGTCTGCATTCCATTTCTACCCTGAGACTGGTTCCAGCCTCCAAACTGCCACCCCATATGTTGTGGACAACAAAAAGATAAAAGCTACCAGGTCAAATCCTGCCATGCTCTCTGGGAACTTGACTCTGAGCTTCATAGCTATCTGGACAGATTCAGCAACTCGATCCACATCTTTCTTCCTTTGAAAAAAAGAAAGAAGCACCTGTTATTGTGTTAATGGGTTGAGTATTTCTCTAAGTGATTACCTCTTGCTGGCATCCTATTTTATTTTCTTTTCTTTTTTAATTTTTCTTTTATTTTTTAAATTTTATTTTATTTTTTAAATTTTTTTAATATAAATTTATTTATTTTTAGCTTTCAACATTCACTCCCACAAGTTTTTGAATTCCAAATTTATACCCCATCTCCCCCCTCCTCCCACCCCAAGATGGCATGCATTCTGAATATCCCTTCCCCTAGTCTGTCCTCTCTTCTACCTCTCTCCCTTTCTCTTATCCCCTTCCCCTTCTATTTTCCTGTAGGGCAGGATAGACTTCTGTACCCCATTTCCTGTATTTCGTATTTCCCAGTAACATGTGAAAACATTTTTTTAAACATATGTTTTTAAAACGTTAGGTTTCAGATTTTCTCTCTTCCTCCATCCCCACCCACCCTCACTGAAAAGGCAAGCAACTCAATATAGGTTGTACATGTGCAGTTACTAGAATCCTATTTTCATCACACTCCTATCATTCCCTGCCTCCAATACCCAGAAACACTACTCCAATCCCTAGGGGATAGAATAGTTTAAAATTCATTGCCAATTAGTTCCAAAGTGATCCACCATCTTTGGAACTATGGACAAGGAAACTTTTTTCAAGTGTCATTAGGTTCCACATCTGTGGAAAATTTCTTGCAAGCTTTGACATTTAAGGCCCCCCTCATTTGGTTTCAATCTTATTTCATAGTATTCCCCTTTATACATATTAAGCTCTAATCAAACTAAACTATTAGATGTTTTTTTAATTACACCCTGCTCTCTCTCTTACATCTTTGAATTCACTCAGACTATTTCCTATAACTGAAATTTTCTCCCTTCTCAACTTCAGCTGTTGAAATCCTCGTCTTTCAATGGTCAGCTCAGATACCACCTCCTCTCCATCTTTACAAACCACAATACTATTTTGTGCCCTTTCATTTTCTAATTTTATTCCTCTTTCTCACGCAGGCCCCAACTCCCTACCCACACTAAAGCCTAGGAACCAAGCTTCTCTCACCTGTTACTGCTATAGATGATTCTGGCTCCAGTGAAGTCAGGATGGTCTTTGGCAAACTTCTGGGCCACTTCTTGATAAGTCTTCAGTGACCACTCTTGGTCATGTGTTTGCCCATTTAGTTCATATACCTGAGAATAATGGAGAGAAAAGAGGAAAATATGATCCCAAATGGATCTCAGATAAGGAAGTAGGACTTGATTGTAACAAAAGATCATCCCTACCAAACCTTCTGTGAAAGGAACAGGAATAGAATGGAGCAGATTCCCTGTGGCTCCCTATGTCTGTTATGAACCCATCTCCCTTTCCAGAGCAGGTGTCTGTTCTCCCATCTGAAATGCCCAAGGCCTAGTTTTAAGTGTTCAGTCCAATGTCAGGACAAGTTATAGGAGTTTCTCCATAGTTGGGGAAAGATAATAGATAAGTGACCAAACAATATGAATAGGTAATTTTCAAAGGAATACATTAAATCCATCAACAACCACTTTTAAAAAAATATTCCAAATGACTAAAAATTAGAGAAAGGCAAATTAAAGCAACTAAGGTTCATCTCACACCCATCAGATTGGTAAAGATGACAAAGGAAAAAAATGGAAAATGACAGCTTTTGGAAGGGCTGAGGGAAAAAAGACACATTAATATACTATTAGTGGAATTATGAATTGGTACCACAACTCTGAAAAGCAATTTGAAACCATGCCAAAAAGTCATTAACTAAATCTTTGATCCAGCTACTACGCCTATACCACAAAGAGAACAAAGAAAGAGAAAAGGACCCAAAAGTGAAAACATTTTTATAGCAGCCCTTTTGTAATGGCAAAGAACTAGAAACTAAGAGAATTCCCACCTATTAGGGATTACCTGGCAAATTATCATATACCAATGTAATGGAACACTGTTGTTCTATAACAAATGATGAAAGGGATAGTTTCAGAGAATCCTGGGAAGACTTGTATGAACTGATGCAAAGTGAAGTGACCATAAACAGGAAAAATGATTTATACAATAACAACACTGTAAAGACAAACAGCTTTGAAAGACATAAGAGATATAATCAATACAATGACCAATCACTATTCCAGAGGACCAGTGATGAAACATTCTACCCACCTCCTAACAAAAAAGTGATGGACTCAAGATGCAGAATAAGACATACAGTTTTGATTGTGGTCATTGTGGGAATTTATTTTGCTTGACTGCATATTTGTTAGAAAGGCATCAATATCTTATGTGTCCTTTTTCATGGAGTGGCCAGCAATGGTTAGGTTAGAGTTGCCCCACCCCATCCCCCAATAAAAAGGAAAGAAAAAGAGTTTTATTGAAACATGTTTAAATGCAAGGGGAAAAGCAGAAGGAAAGCCAAAAGGAATCACACAGACAGCCTGAAAGTTACATGTTGAATTTATTACATACCTAAAAATAAAAGCAAACTGTATATAATAGATATTTTAAGCTTCATGCATGCTTTTCTTTCTCTGTTCTACTATGTATATGGAAATGTTCATTTTATTTGATATTTTCTAAGTTCAAAATTATTTTTTAAAAAATATGGAGGTGGTAAAGAGGGACAAAGTGGGGGTGGGGAGAGTGTATAAGAAATGATACCTTAGAGAGAGACACATACTAATAGAAAAACTAGATTCAGCTCTTTTCCCCATGCCAGGAGAATTGGTTCCATTCTTGACTCAAATTCACTACCAGAACACTGGGTGTTGTCAACACAGGCTGGGTACATGTCTATGGAATTAGACCCTGAGCAATTGCCAGCAGCGCATTTGATGGCAAGTGTGGTGGGAACATGGTGCACCCACACACACACACACACACACACACACATGTCCTTGGTGTGCATGGGAACAACCCAGTCTAGGCCTCCCCCAGGCAAACAAAAGGCTTTCTTGAGTTTTTTCCTTGAATCTGAGCAAATCTGTTTTGTGCTTTTATCTCTCTGAATTATTATTTCCACCTCCCCCCCATTCTCCACACACACACACACCCCTGAGGGAGATATTTAGAGAAAGAGGCAGACTGGCAAAGTGGTTTCTGAATATAACCACCATAGACAGGGTGGTTATTCTTTACCCTTTTCACCTGAGGGCATCAATGACCTCTTACTTGCAATGAGGCAGAAATCATGTGAGAAGAAAAAGGGAAGTTTATCTGTACTTGTGACAATGAGCTGCCCTTTTTTGCTTCCTCTCTTCCTTCTTCTGCCCTGGTGATTTGAACTGCCAAGGAGAACCTTGGTGACCACAAGGAGAGGAGAGAGATACCAGCACCAGCCAGAAAGCCTTACAAGATGAAGAAGGCCTCCAAGTCTGGAGCAATGAGTAATCCAAAGAAAATTATCTTACTTGAAAAGAGAAAACATTCAAAGTTGTTAAGACTACCAGAAACTATGAATCCCATTGAGCTGGTTAACTGGGAAAGTTTATCTCTCTTTTAGTCCAGGAGTATAAGATGGGAAATGGAAGTCCTTCATCTTATTCCTTTCCCATAATTTAGGTCTTGGGTGTAGACATGTCTTAGATCACTCCCCCTCCCCCCCCAGCCACACCCAAAGATCTAGAAGGAGAGCCCAGAGACAGTTGGAGTTGTATGTGTTCTAGTTTCCCTTTCACTTTACCTTACATACAACAAACTGATCTCAGCAAGCTGTCTTTGAATCTATGAAGGTAATGGGAAGTAAATGGAGAAAGTGGAATCAATCCACAGCGGGGTGGGGGGGGGGAGTGGAGGCTCTGAGTACAATTCCATCTCATCCTGTGTATTAATTTCAGATCTGGTCAATGAGGGGTTAATCACAGTTGCTTTAATACCTAGGTCAAACAGAAGTATGGAGAGCAACTAAGTTGGTTATCAGCTCAGCACCCTCTGATGGCCAAAGGAAATATTTGTAGCCTTCTTAGAAAGGGGTACTTCATGTATGTACCAGAGAGTAACAAACAAGGCTGGGTTGACAGCTCAAGGAGAGCATCCCCTGGTGGATAATTCAGATATTGTGCTCCCTTGCAGGATAATTAAAAGTGATAGATTCAATGCCTTTCTGTGGCTTCAGGAAGGCAGCACAACCAGAGTCCCATCCAGATAAGGAAAATAAAGCCTAGAGAGGTTCGGTAAATTGTCCAAGGTTGCACAGGATTTGAGCAAGGATTCAGATCCCTCACACACCCAGACCAATGTCTCCATTCTTGTCTTTCTACCTCCCTTCTCCCCATTTCAATCTACCCCTCCACACAACTGCCAAAGTGATTTTTCCTAAAAGCTTTTTTTTTGTATCCCCGGCAATTATCACTTCACCTGATACATAGTAAGTGCATAATAAATGCTTGCGGATTGATTTCTACTTACTTCACCATGCTGCCTACTGGTTCCCCTTTATTTCAGTAAACTGTTTCACAGGAATAAAAGAACATTAGACTAGGAATCAGGAAGTCCAGGTTCAAATGTGGACACTGATCCTTTCTATGTGACATGAATGTCATTTTATTTCTCTTAGATTAAGTTTCCTTGTCTTTAAAATCAGAATAATTTTATTTATTCAGGTTCTGATTCTTCCATTACTTTTCTTACAGAGTTGTTTTGTTGTGGTGAAAACACTGTTAACCTTAAAGTAACATTTGTTAAAATAATGATGATGATGATGATGATGACGACAATCTAGGGTAGCACCCATTTTCTCAATAGGCTAGTGGTTATTGGCCGTTGCCACTAATACCTCTTTAACCCAAGTGCTCTTTTGTTTTCAGGGTGAGATGGCCTCTGCTTTCCTCTTCCTCCCAGAGCTGGAGAAGCTGGGGGGAGGGGCAGTCCTTTCTCTTTCAGTTCCATGGCCCCATTGTTTCCTCTGTTGCAGTATACTGCTTGACATTTCAAAACCCCACCTCCCAACACTAGTTTCTGTGCCCAGAAGAAAAGCACCATAGCACTTTGGCCCTGTATTAAGTAGACTGACCTATTGCTTGACCTGTGGGTGGGAGAGATAATACACTAAAGCTTCCACTGGAGTTTTGCATGAGGTCTCAACCTTTATTACTGGCCCATTATTTGGAAGAAGGAATTTTAAAGCACAGCAACTTCTTGTTATTCTCCAAGATGCATCTTTCTGTTCAATCTATTCAAAGGCTACCTCCTCCACGAAGTCTTCCCTAAACTGCTCATAGGATTATGGCATTTAGAAAAGGAAAGGCCCTTAAAGATAATTTAATCTAACCTCTCATCTTCCGTGGTGAGGAAGATAAAACCCAGAAGGTAAAGGGACTTGTTCACATCCGTTGACTCCAAATCCAATATTCTATCAACTACAGCTGACTCATTGATCTCCCCTTTTCCTGAACTCTTGCAACATCCCCTACCAGTACATCTTAACTATATGTTATTTCTACTAAAGTCCTACTCAGATGCCTTACTATGGTGGAAATGACTTTCAGTTCTCAAAGGTTATATCAAGCAGAACCCAAGCTGTAACAGAAACAGCATCAAGCATTTGGATGTGAGAGTTCTGAACTCTGTCCTGGCCAGAGCACTTCTGGAGTGTGCAGTTCAGACCTGGGTGCCATATTTTAGGAAAAACCCTGATAAGCTACAGAGACTCCAGAGGAAGGTAACCAGGAGGGTAAAGGGACTAGAGCTCCTGCCAAGTGAGGATCTGTAGAAGGAATCCAGGAGGTTTAGCCTGGAGAAGAGAGGATTTAAGGGGTACATGATAACGGTATTCAGATATATGAAGGACTATTGTGCAGGGAAGATGGATTAGATTTGTTCTGGTTAGGCCCAGAGCTCAGAACTAAGAATAAAGAATAGAAATAAAAAGAGGCAAATTTTGGCTTCATGCCAGGGAAGATGTCCTAATAATTAAGCCTACCCAAAAGTGGAATGACTGAGCTACTTCAAGAGGTAACATGAGCCTCATTTCACTGGAGGTCTTTAAGCAAAGGCTGAGTATAATGTAAAGGGCATTCTTGTTCCGGTACAGGTTGTACTAGATCTCCTCTTCCAACTCTGAGATTCAATGATTGATTGAATTCCAATACCAAATATTTGCTTAAGTAGAGACTCTACCCAAATTCCTTATGCATACACAATCCTGGGATGGGGAGGGGAGTAAAATCATTGACTCCTGATTGTAGCG